GTTCTTCGCCTTTTTAGGAAAGAAAAATAGTAAGAGGTAGACTACAAATGTTCGTACCTCTCAACTACATAATATTTTATTACAAAAATATTTGTTTGCCTTTAATGTATACATCTGTCGCCTAAAAGTAATTTGTATTCTAACAAAGTATTGACAATTTTTGAATATACATTAATGGACTTATTTGTTAACAAAAAGCATTTCTCTCTAAAAGCAAATCCTCCACATCGTCTTTAAATTTGATGATTTTCACACGTCTATTAGGCTTTACGCAACATTGGGATTAAGGTATTTTAAAATCCAAAATAAATTATATATGAAATATTTTAAAAGATATGAATTAATTGCTAATATTAGATAGTAATTTTTTTAAATTTTAAAATGTAAGAAAGTTAAAAATTAAAAAAATGTAGTAGAAATTAAAGAAAACAATGAAGATGTTTATAGGCTTCATAATTATAGACACCATGATTTTTATGATTTTCTCTATGCTATTGAGGTCTGCTGGAAATGAAATTTTTATCAGAGACTTCCTCAAGCCGAAGAACATTATTTCCAAGACCCCCATTTTTCAGAAAAATTTTTCGATTTTTTCTAATGTTGAAATTTTTACTAACATAAAGTTTTTAAGGCTGAATGAAGTCTTGATGAAAATTTCATTTTCGTCAGACAGAAAAACATAGGGAAAATAAAAAAATCATTTATTATTAAGCAGAGCCTATTTTTAAGCAGAAAATCCATTATTAGTACCTAAATAGCTAAAAAATATTTTTAAGTTCATTCAATAAATATCCAGACAGAAAATTTGAAAAAATTAATATATACTAACTTAAAAATAAAAAAAGGATTGGGAAAGAACTCTGTGACCCGAATTTTAAATAATAAAAAAGCTTCAAATAAAAAGGATGGAAGAATCAACAATGAATGCGCGAAGGACAATTATAGAGAAGAGAGAAGGACAGATGGATAGAAAATGAGTGGAAATAAAAATAAAAATGGTATTAAAAAGAAATTTTAAAAACATTTTTGGTATAAAAACACAGTTTGTGAATAAAATAAAAATTTTAAAATTATTGCCTTGACCTAAAGAAAATTATTGAAAAATTGTGTTTGTAAACATGTATTTAGTTTTTGTTTAAAATAAAATGAGCGTTGTACATATTACATACTTAGACAATTAAAAGAAACAGATGGAGTTTAAAGAAAATTTTTGAAATATCTAAAATATCGCGCATAAAAAAGCAGAGAATTTTTAAATTAAATTATAAAAAGAAAAAAATTTTCAGACACAAAAGTGAATTTTAAATAATAAATTAAAGAAAAAAGCATTTTTTGTTTTGTTGATTTAAAAAGCTTACTTGAAGGTTAAAGACAATAAATTTCGTTTAATAAATTTAAAATTTAAGCGTGAATTATAAAAGAAAACAAAATTAAAAAAACAGTTAATGGAAAATTTAAAAAAATGGAAAATTTATAATGAAAATTATATGTACATCAATATTAAAAGGCGGTTGATTAAAAAAATATTTTTAAAGCAATCTTTAACTAGAAAAACCTTTCAGAATGGCTGAAACATTTCAAAAACTTGCATTAATTTTTAATAATAATTAAAGAAAAAAGCATTTTTTATTCTCTTTATGAGGTAAAATATGAGGGAAAAATGATGGAAAGGACCAGTTCTAAAGAAAATATATAGGACCGGTTGGCAAAATTGTTTTAATGTCCTCAATATAATAATAATAATAATGTTGGAAAAACTTTTTTTAATAAGTTTTAGCGAAGAAGGTAGAATAAAAAGATGCAAAGAAAGATAACAAAAGTATAATTGTTATTAAATAATTAAAAAATAATTTTTGGCAATATTTTAATTATTTAAAATTGTTAATCATTTTTGAAGAGAAATAAAGTAACTTTAAATAAATTATATATGTATTAGGAGAGTTATGAAGTTAAACTAGACTTAAAAAATGTCAAACAGAGGTAGAAAAAAATTAGATATAAATTTAAAAAAATAAAAAATATATTTTATTGATGGAAAATATTTTATATAATTTTGTAATTATTTAATGAATTTTGCTTTAAAAAATAAATAATGAAACATAAATATGTATGACGTATTTTAGAAAATAAATATTAATAAAAAATATTTTACAAGCTAACCTTTAAAAATATATGTTTCCTTAGCATATAATTATTAGCTGTATTGTTATTTGTTGTTAATTTTTAAATTTGAACGTTTTAAAAGTGAAATAAATGCAACCTTTTAAAATTTATTTAAAAAAAAAGAAAGTAAATATTTCCTTAATTTAAGCAATCCCCCTCCCTTTCCATAAGAAAATACAGTTTAAAAAACGACTGAAAATTGAATGGACGATTATTTTCATAGATAAAATAATTAAAAAATATAACTGATGTGAGTAATTTAATATTATTTTTAGAATCCAAAAAAATTTTGAATGGAAGGAAAAATTTTTTTGCAAAAAATAAAAATATATGTCGATCAGAAATAAAATAAATTGACTGTTACTTGGGCGGTAAATATGTCTTTGATGAGGGAAGGAGGGAAGTTTAAAAAAGAAGAAAAAAATAAAATGGCAAGAGATGGATGAGGTTGACCATTTGATAGATTAGTTTTGAAAATGGTGAGTTAAGGATTGGAAAAAAAGGTTAAAAATTAGAAAGAATTTTTAATAGAAAAGTTGAGAAAATTTAAAAAGGGGAGAAATATAAAGTATCTTAAATAAGTTTTAATGTTGGCTGAAAATAAAGTTTAAATTTAAAAAACAACGAAGTAATAATTTTAATTTCATTGAATTTCAAAAATTATAATTATCTATTAATACAAAAAGTATCTTACGAAAACAAAAATTTTAATTTAAATTAAAATAAAGTCAGTATAAATTCAGATTTTTAAATGTCATTTAAAATATTTAAATTTAAATCGCAATTTTAAATAATTTGATTGAAAATAAGATTTTCTTTTATTAATTATTAGCCCTAATTTATCGACAAACTTTTTATTTAAAAAATAATTAATTTCTATTAATTTTTTTTCAATCGCTAAATTTAGTCAATCTTTTGTGTTTTAAATTTTGTGTTCTATTTAGTAGTTAAATTGCGGTAAAAATTTTGTAAAAAACAGCCAAAAAAAGGAATATTTATGTAAATAAATATTTATTATTTTCGCGCAAATTTTTTATGAGAATTTGACCCGAATTTGTAGGTTACTAAATATGTAGTCATATATTACAAAAATATATGTACATTTAATTTTACAAAATTTTGTTTTAAAAATTAATTTCAAAAAATGAAAAAATTAGAAAAATAATTTAAATATATGTAATTTAATTTTTAAATTAATTTTCTTTAATTTTCAAAATTTAAGCAATAGCTAATATGCTATTGTTTAAGCATATCTTTCCAAAAATTTTATAATTTAATTAATATAAATTTAATTTTTTAAAAATATTTTTACCTGATTCTGTTTGGCTTGTACTCTTTTTCCACTAGGTACAACAACAGGGCCAGAAAATCCTTTCATATCCAAAGGCACATCGCTGATACCACCACTCATCTTAAATTAAAAATAATTAGATTTTTAAAAGAAATTTTTTAAAATTAAATTGCCAAATTAATAATTAGAAAATCAAAAAAGCTACTCAAAATTTAATAAACATTTTATCAGAAATGTGTTGTAAAATATCGAAAATAGAGGAGAGGAGCTATGGCAACAATTACTAATTACTTTTTTCAAAAATAATTTTTGACAATTTATTAAAAATATTATTTTGATCATTTCTAATTTGTTATAATTTTAGTAATCAACCACACACAGAAATGATAATAATTTTCCCAGAGAGAGCTGTTTATTATCAAAAAATATTACAAAAAAACAATCCCGTTAAAAATATTTAATATTTGTAAATAAAACTTTCGCACCAACCGGTGCCACTGAAGTGCTTTGACGTCCATTGCCTCCACTTCCACCACCATCATTTCCCACCAGGCGCATTTCACTGGCTTTTTGCCGTCGTTTTTTGCTGTTGGATCCTTCTGATAGCGGTGAAGAATGATAAGATGAAAAGGGTAAAGAGGAAGAAGCAATGGATTGGGAAGAAGAAGGAAAAAGGGCGGTAGAGGTGGTTGTTGTTGTTGTTGGTAGCAGTAACTGTTGAGAAGCTGCCGACGTTGTCGTAGCTGTCAATGAGTACGGGGAAAGAGAAGGTCGCTGAAAAAAAAAGGCCCGACTGTCAATAAGAGAGAAAAAATCAATGTATTTTAATAGAAAAAGAAAAAAAGGGAGAAAATTTGTTTTTTTTTTGTTAGATAAGAGGAGAAAAGGTGAAGAGAAGGAGAGGAGGAAATGAGGGCTGGAAATTACGAGGAGGTATATTTATGTGAATAACAAAAAAAAACTAAAAAAAAGTAATATTTTAGTACTTTAAGTATTTGTAGATAAACAATTAAAAATAATTTGGATTTATTTATTTTTTGGCTTCACTGGAAGTTTTTTAAAATAAATATTTTTGTTTATTTTAGTTTATTTACTGTTTACTAAAAACAGTAATTAACAAATAATTATTTCTAATTTTAAAGGACCAAATTTGGATTTAAAATTCCTCTAAATTTCCGAATCCCGAATCCACCTTAATATAATAATAATAAGGGGCATTTTGTTAACCAGATTAGTTAATTCCAAATATTTTAAGCCCACCTTTTTACCCTTTTTAGTTTGTGTATTCATCCCCTCCTCAACAGCTACTTCAGCGCCTTTTCTTTGCTTTGTTGAAATTAAGCTTTTACGTAAATTAGATGATAAAGCAATATTTCCAAAATCTTCTTCATTTAAAATATTTTCATTTTTTAGTAAAGCAATCTTTTCTTCATTCTTCTTTTCTATAGTTTCTTCAATTTCAATGTCAGTATCACAAAATACAGGATTTAGAATAAAATGTTCATTTTCTGACTTAAATTATTGCTAATTATTAAGGGAAGAGTTTTTATCCCTTCAAAACCTGCCTTCTCAAAATAATAATCACCTGATTTTTATTCAATTCATTGTTTATTTCTTTACTTTCTGTTGATTCATTCAAAAATGTATCATAATTAATGGTAGTACATGGTGAATAATCAACACAACTTTTATCATCCAAAGAATCTTCTGCTGTCTTCAAAAGGAATTTATTATGATATAAACATTTTGACTTAAGAAAATAAAAAATATTTGGGGAAATAAACATCTCACATTTAAGCAACTAATTAAATTCTAAGAGCTCTGTTTAAATTTTCTGGAGATATCAATAATATCCAAATATCAACTTTTCTGATTATTTAACACAATTTAACCTTTTTAATGTTAGCAAAAACATCAATTTTCCTTCTTTGCTGTTGGGATTGATTCTCTATAAATTAAAAAAATTATTTTTTAAATTATTTTGTCGATAAACCTTGCTTGTCAGGTCTGCATAAAAGTGTAGCAGATCCATAAGATTCGCTTAAACTTGGAGTAGAAGTAGCCGGTTGTAATGAAAGTCTCTCATTGACTAAATAAATTACATTAAAAAAGACAAACAAATTTTTATTTATAATTTACCTCTATCGACAGAAGCTGCCCTCAATGTTAAGCTTCGCCTTCGTCCAAGTTTTTGCTCACAACGAATTCCAATTTCGTCATCTTTTTCATCAAAAGTATCATCAAGTAGTAATGCTTTGGACATTTGAAGGGAAAATATATTTAATTTTTAATTTTAAGAATTTCAAGAGAGGAAATTAAAGGAGAAAAATTCTTATTTAAATAAAATAAAAATAATTTAAAAAATAATTAGTAGATATAAGTAATATTTAATTAAAAATTGTTGTAGTGAAATCAAAATATTATTTTTATTAATATTTCAATGAATTACACTAAAAGTATTGAATAAAGAAATTAGATTGACCCTCTAACATAATGAGTTAAAAATATTTTGGGCTGGCATTGATACGAAGGTTAAAGTGATAAAAGAAGTTTTCGTTGTAGATAAAACGTGTTTTGTTGAGAATAATATATGTTTTTTATTAAACATCAAAACAACCCTTCTAATTCTCCATTTTAGTAAAACTTAAAATATTTAGAAAGTTTAGGGAATTTTAAAAATAAAATTTAATGAAACTATTATTCATAAAATATTCCACGTTGAATGTTGTTGGAATTACAAAAATAAATATATTTATTAAAAATATGTATAATGATTCAAAAAATATTTTAAAATAAAAAACAAAATAAATTAAAAATAAATAATTAATTTTTGGAAAATAAAAAGAATTTCTTTAATTAAAATTCTCAATATATTTTTTAATAAAAAACAAAATAAAAAATAATTTTATTTTGGGATATCAGCTGATTCTATTTAATATATTTAAGATTTTTATAAAAAACAGTCGCAAGCATACATGTTTAGAATAAACAAGAGTATGGGGGAGCAGATGGCTGAAATACATATAAAATAGGCGAGAGCCTAGGCCTTTGTGTAAATGTTAGAGAATTGAAGAGAATAAATGGTTGTAATATTGATGTGTTTGTAGAAAAAATTGGGGAAAGAGGGTGAGAGTCTACAAACAAAAATTCCGGAATTTCAGAAAACTGAATTCTTGAAAAATTTTGTTTTGTATATAAAATAAAATTTCAAGTATAACTCAACATAAAATGTTAAGGATGAAGGGATTGTGATAGTGGTTATTAATTTTTTAATTTAAAGGAATAATTTACGTTATAGTAAAACCCATTCCAGGAGAATTATTACATTTTGAAGCAAAACCTTCATTTCAGACGGATTACCAAACAAGTTTAAATGTTATGGAGCTATTATCTCCTTGGAGTTTATTTATATATTTTATTTTTAAAAATTGTTTTTGTCTACATACTTTCTGCATTTTACGAAAATCTATGAGGGCAAAAAAGTGAAAAATAAATAAGAATAAATGTAACTACTAAAAAAGAAAGTTGACTACACTGCGGGCGACAAAACTGCTGTCAGAGGAGTCTTCTGAATGACGAGAAAAAAAAAAGAGAAGTAAAAAAGGAAGAGTCCGACCGTGATAGGACCGCATGCCTGTCACAATGTTCCTCCTCTCTTTTTTTTTGGTTGACATTACGCTGCAAAAATAATATTAAAAGAAATAACTATTTATTTATTAAAATCAATCTTAAAATTAGAAAATATTTAAAATAAAAAAATAGCAAAAGAGAAGGAAAACAATTGATAAAAATGATAAAATTAAGAAAAACGTTCTTTTTTATCTTTTCTCAAGTAAACATGTCAATAGTAAAGGTAACATTTAATTAAAAATTGTTATCGCAAAATTTTGGCAACATATGAAAAACAAACGAAGTACATGATGACTGGAAATAAAAGGAGCGTTGAAAAGTCAATGGAAAATAAACGAGGTACAGAGAATCTGAGATGTTAAGGAGATTCCTAGAAACGAAAATATTCAGGGAAATGTGCATTTAATATATAAATAGTACTTTCTGAAATCTGGTATATATATTATAGATTGCGCGACGTAAAATTCTTGATTTTCAGGGATTTTGAAATTTTTGTTATTTTTTTGGCTTGGGTTGAAGTTCACATACATGAAGAGGCGAATTTACAATTCAGGTATGATAATATAAAATTGAATATTTTTTTTACTTTGGATGCCCTTACAATTGCCCTTTAAATCAAACATATATTTTAATTATTTTGTCAAAAATCCCTCTTGAGAATGTCAAAAAAGTACATCTTTGTGAAATCTGGTATTTCAATGAAATAATACTTCAAAAATAACTTTTATTTATTAAATCGAATTTTCAAAAATAAAAAGTCTGAGAAGCATTTTTTCCCATAAACAAGGAAATAAACATATGTATTTAAGAAATATTATATAAAAACTTTGAAATTCTTGTTTAATTTTAACAAAATATTCTTTGACAAAAGTCAGTGTAATTTATTGTATAAATAAAATTAATCTTTTATTTAAATTGGAAATCTTCTTTTGGATAATTAAATTTTTGGAAATTTTTAACAAAAATATGTTTTCAGTCTTTTCTGGACATTAATTTCAATAAAAATTTTCTATAAAATAATTAAATATATTTAACTAATACGTATGTAAATATGTATGTATTTTCAAACATTTCTATATCTTTTATTAATTTCAATAATTCCTTAAAAACTTTAAAAAACAAAAATAAATATAAAAAATATTAAAAGTGCATATTATTTTGCAATAAATTTTTTTTATTAAATCATGTTAATCAAGTGTTTTCCCGACAATTTAAAATAAATATTACATAATAATGTCTGTCTGTCGCCCTTTCATATCCGGCAAATTATTTAATTATTTATTAGCTAAAAAATACTTTTATTCATTTATTCTTAATTAACATTTTTAAATATTAAATTTAAAATGAATTCTTCGTTTGCGATTTTTGTCCTTCAGATTCTTTTTGGTTAGAATTTAAAAATTTTCTTTAAAGAATTTACTATAATTAAATAATTTTAAGTGTTAACAAACAAAGTTTGTACACAAATAACTTTAAATGGAATTGCTGCATTGGCTCATTGTCAGGAAAAATTAATTCTTGAAGGAACATCTTACAAAGAGAATGGTGTATATTTAATATTTTAAACTTAATCCAAAACTAAATAAAAAGTTTGTCCGGGATTGAGCTTTCTAATACAAAATAATTTCTATTTTATCAATCTTCACCCTCTCACCTCCCAAAGATTAGTTGTTTTTTTGTTTTCCTGTTTTTATTTTATTGTTAGAAGGAAATTTCACCATTCTAGTTTTGTTTAATTTTTAAAAACTTAATGTTTAATTCATTTTAGCAATAACTGATTGTCTGAAAAATTTCAAAGTATGTAAATATTAAATTAATTAATTATACCTTGATAAACAGTGTATGTTTATAAATATATAAAAATTAAAATTTTGGAATATATAAAATTTATTAACAGTTTCATTGTAATAAAAATGTATAAAACAAAAAAAATTATAAAATAAAATTAAATAAGTCTAAACGTTCACCGAAATTCCTTATTTTTCCAGGCTACCTATCTTCAAAAAGATATTGAATTAATTGAGAATATATATAAAATCATTGATGAATTAAGTAATAAAGAATTTACAAGGAAGAAAATTACAGCTTATAACCGGGTTTTAAAAACACTTAACTTCCTAGTTGGGCATTTATTTTTGGAAAAGTTTTTAAAATGGAGCGGTGATCGAGAAAGAATTTTCGTTTTCACAAGTCTGAGTGTAAGTAAATTTTAGAATTTCACTTGTCTTGAAATTGTTCTGATTTTGGAAACGATCTTGAGAGTCCTCAATTCTATCAATTTTTGTCAATTTTCTGTAGATAACTCAATTTTCCCTTTAATTTATTAACTGGGCTTCAACGTCTTACAATTTTTTTTCTAAAATTATATCTAAAATTCATTTTAGGGCTGTAAAATTGACGTTAAAAGATATAAATCTTTCCGAAATTATTTAAAAGAAACGGTGGAGAATTTGGATAATTTACTTTATTTGAAATTAGAAAAAAATTATAATAAATTTAAAGAAATAAAATTATCTATTGAAGATAAAATTAAACATTATAATTTAATAATGGGACGTCTAAATGATGAATTTAATTTTTGGTGGATTAAATCTAATAGTAGAAGAGAATGTTTATCTACAACACAATCAAGACAATGTAAAAATTTATTTCTAGATTTTATTTTAATAAATACTTTCTTTAGCAACAACAACTGATCCCCAACTTTTTAAAAGTAATTCAGGCAGAGAAAGAGAAAAATCAGATTCATTTCGGACCAGTCCAAGGGCATCATCTTCTCGTTACGAAAGATATTCTTCAGCATCACAATTGGCAAAAACTTTTGAAAACAACCCTTTCACATATATAAACAGTTCAAAAGTATTTAATGGTGAAACACCTACTAGATTATCTTTTGAAGAAAATAAAGACCAACAAACAAAAGAAAATACGGAATTTGTAAATAATTTAGAAACGAGGACATGGCCACCTAAAGTTATAAAAGTACTTTATTTAATTAGTGGGGAATTGAGGGAAGAGAAAAAAGGTCAAAGAAATTCTCAAAAAAATCAAATCAAATCTACAACTGAGAACGAAAGGAAAAAACAAATAGAGAAAATAAACAAATAGTGAGTTTTTAGGACACCTAATATTGCATATTTACTATACCTTGCTATTAGTAGAACGATTCTAAATGGAAAGACCTTTTTTTATTTCTTCTAAATCCATTTCTATAACGCGTCATTCAGTTATAATGGATCTGGTTTTGGTTTCTATCGAAACCGCAAATATGTAGAAGTTCAACTTAATCGAAAACCATAGGTGCCAGTTAATAACAGGTCAACTACCCTTAACATGGTATACCTTCTAAAATTCCATTCAGAGTCCGATTTGAAATTATTCTTTAAATTTAAGTTTTCGCTCCGTTCCCATAACTCATCTTTTCTCGTCACCAGAAGAGCAAAATATTAAAGTTGGACTTAGTTTAACTTTTCCAAAATATTTGCAAATTAATTATGAACCTGGATTTTATAAGGTATTATTAATTATATTTAAAATTTAAAAATATAAATTTAATTTAAGTTTCTCGGAGGTAATGAACCATCATTTCCTCAATGTGAAGAACTTAAAAAAGCCAATAAAGGACGAATTAATTGTGATTATTTTAATGAAAGGGAAAAGTCAGAAAATGAATGTAGCATGATTTTAAATCCAAAAAAAGTAATTTTTAATTACAAATGCTCACTTTAATTTGAAATTTTATTTAATTAACAAAACTAATTAAATTAATAAAATTTTTAAAAGGAAAAATCTCCAAATAATTTTAATGATAGAATTGATAAAGTTCTTAATTGTGTTTTGAAATATTGTGCAGAAAATAGCAAAATTAAATCAAAACCAGGAGTATTCGAAAAATTTTATAAACAATTCAAAAAAGGAGTAGGATCAGTATTTGGCTCTGAAGATATTAAATGGTGGGTTGGAGAAGATGAAGCAGGTGAGGACTATTTTTCAAAATATTTATTTAAACAAATATGTAAATAATTATTTAAAAAAATTATTTAAAAAAATTTTTTGCACTTAAAAATATATCTTTTTTATATAATTATTTTATTATTTTTAAAATAATTCGAATTGTTAATAAATTTAATAATAAAAATAAATTTAAATTCAATATATAATTTAATAATAATTTTTTAAATATTTTATTTAGAGCATATTGTAATTGTTACAAATAATGAAGTAATTGGTGCTATTCATGAAAAAATAACAGGGAAATTAATGGACGTTGAATCAGTAAATTAATTAATTAGAAATATTTTAATTAATTTTAATTTAAAGGCTTCAATAACTAAATTCATTGAATTCGAAACAAATCAAGCAAGCTCTTCTGGGTCCTCCTACAAACGATTTAGAATTATTCAGGAGAGTGATATAAAGCATTTGGGCCTGTCTGAGAATCTGAACAATTTAAATAACCGAATATGGTGAATAAAAAGAAAAATAATAATTTAATTTAATTCGTATTTTAGACGAATTGTTAATAAATTTAATAATTTTTTATTATTTTTGAAATTATTAATTTAAATAAAAAATGATAGATATTATTTTTCCTACAACTTTATTAAAACAATATTGTCTTTTAATTTTATTTTTTTTAATATTATTAAATTAAAAAATTAATATTTTTATTTAATTATTTATTTGAAATACATTTTCCATCTTTATTTCCTTCTTTATTCGCGACAAACTGTCAACCTATCATTTGATAACTTAGGAAAATAAAAGAAGATTGGTAGTGGTTTCAATTTAACCTAATTCCCGAATTTTTCCATTGGTTATTCTAAAAATGTGTGAACAAGCATTTGTGTGGGAATAGGTAAAAATAATTAAAAACCCCGCAGTTGGATATTTAATAGCCATAGCCGCATAATTTTTGGAACCATGGTCTCTGCGAATTGGCCTCAAAAGGATAAATCTTTAAATAATTAATTTTTAAACATTTATTATAAAGACTAACAAATTCTTTTTAAATATTTAATTATAATTATTGTTTTAATATATTTTTTATTCATAGAACATTTTTGGTTTTAATTTCATATTACCTAACTCGTAAATTTGTCATAAAATTTTCGAATAATTTGTAATAATTTCTATAGTTTATATTTGAATTAAAAACTTTAAAAACAAATTAAATATGTATAAATAACTTTAAAAACATCGATTATAATTCAATTTGATATTAAACTTTTTGGTATTTTAACCCTAACATCATTTAAAACGCCTAAGCGAGGGTTAAACGAACATAAGGATAAAGAAAGAACAAGAAATAATCATCGCCCCGGTAGCTCAGAGATTTAATTTTCGATAATATTTCAAAGATCTTTTGCTTATCAATTTAAGATTCGCGAAACAATGTCCAAATTTTGTGACTTTTTGTATTTAATATTTAGAGTTATTAAATTGACTACAAATTTAAAAATAAGCTTTACACTAAAATGATTGAAAAAAATAAATACGATTTAAATTAAAAAAAATTTTTTTAAAATTAAATTTATAAATTTTCCTTTTTCTTTTTATTTTGAGAATTAATGTTGTTCTTTTTCATTGGCATAACAATATTTGCTCGATGACAATGTTCTCCTCGGTAATAAATATGCATAGGGCCTTCATCTCTAAGCTTTAAATTTCAAAAAAATATTTTATTAAATATTTTTCTATAAAAATACCTGAGAATCCAAAAATTTGCACAAAAGCATAAATTTACAAAAACGTCTTTTATTTCTTGTTTTAGTGCAAGCATAACGAATTCCATGAATTAAAGTTCTATTTCTAGCTACTCCATTAATACATCTCAAAGTTTCTAATTCTGCATTATTGTTAACTTCTTTTAAAAATATCCAATTTGAAGAGGAATAATTCCTTTCTCCAATATTTTTTGTTAAAGACAAATTACTGCTATCTTCTGTTAATCTACTAATACTTTCAGGAATATTTTGAATTGTTTGTGATGTTTCTTGAGAAGGAGAACTTTAATTGAAATTAAATAAATATTTAAAAAGATATAAAAATATTAATAAATAATATTTGAACAAATTAATTGGAAAAGAAAATTATTTTTTAAAGAATATTTAAGGAAAGTTGAAAGGGAATATTTTTAATTTTATTTTTTTATATTATCTATAAAATTTTAAATTTTGAAATATAATGTTAATTGAGTACTTTTTTATATCAATAATTAAGTTCAAATTCTTATTAAAAATAAACTTTTCTTTTAATGTCTCGTGAAATTTTAAATTTTTTATTTTATTTAAAAATTTTTAAATTTTAATTTATTAAGAATTTCCAACATAGATAATTTAATTATAATTATTTAAAATTCAAAATTCCAGAGATTATGAGGAATAAGTTCTGGTAAAATTTTCAAAGCAATTTTTTAAATTATTTTTTCCACAATTTTTTATCTAGGAACATTAATGTATGTATAATTTATTTTTTATTTTTTTCTGTTTTTATTAGGTTATAAATGTATTTATTTTTAAATATAAATATATTTATATTTAACTAATTTATTTAATTCTAAAAATTTTTGTTCACTTTGTTTCTGTTAATTGAATTGCATTTCCATTTAAATTTGTTTCACCTTCCATTTTACCAATTTCAATAATTGTGCTAATTCTTTCACGGAGTATAGCTTCTTGTATCAATTTAAAATCCAAGTTTTCATTTTCTTTCATAATTTTATTATATTCAGATAATATAATAAATTGGGAAGAATTTAATTTAAACATTGTTTTAAATATTAAAACAAAAATCTAAAATAACAACATTTGATGTTTTTGAGGCTTACTATACATACAACAAAATTAAAAATTAAAAATTAAAATAAAAAAAAATTAAGAGAAAGAGGGAAAGCTTCTCGCAAGATTAAAGAAATGGCTTTATTCTCCCCTTGACTTTAAATCAGGGCAATCATCATGCCAACTTGACAAATTTTCCTTCCCCTCTCTCCTCTCTCGCCTCTCTCTATCTCCCTCTAAATCTAAACTACCCCCTATCAATACTTTCCCGGGATTGAATAGGGCAACCTATGTAAATATTCTAAATGTATAATCTTTATTTGCCTCAATCGTCCCCTCATCTCCACTATAATTCTCCTCTCTCTCTCCCCCTTTTTAATCAATCCTCTTAACTTTATCTAAATTTTTTATAAGATTTAACTTTTTAATGCAAGTTTGATTAGTTTTAAAATCTAAACTAACATTACAATTTAAGAAATGTTAGTTTATACATTGATTTTAAACGACAAAAACCTTAAAAAGTCTAATTCAAAATTTATAAAAAAAAGTTTAAAATACAAATAAAGTTTTGATTAACAAACATAAAATAATTATTTTTTGATTTTTTTGTTTTTAAAATTTCTTAACAATATAGAAAATAAAATTGTTAGTTTAGTATTTTAAAAATCTTGTTTATGAGTCATTTGAATTTATTTCTAATTATCTTTGAAAATATCTAGTATTGATACAATCGCAAACAAATTTATGTAGATATCTTCAAAATTAGATAATACGGTTATACAGAATCTGGTGCTTAGGGATACCTCCAATTTATGAGATTGCTTATTCTTAGCACTATTTTTCTGCCAAAGACTGTATATAAATCAAAACTTAATATTAGATATCCTCGAATTAGAACATCTTACTCGAGTAACAGATAGAGAGTGGCAAAACGTTTTTATAAATAGAGAATTATAATTTGTTCTAAGGATGTTAAGATTAATATTTTATTTTAGTTTGCCAATATTGTTCGATAATGAATGTGAGTAATTAGAAACAGGGTACACCTAAACATGCGGAGCAAAACTGAACTTATTGAAACGGGATCGAATATTTCTTTTTGTTAAATACTAAATATCTTAATTAGTTGTAAATATTATAAAATAGTTACATATAAATTAGAATATAAGACTTTGATTTTAATTAGTTTTTATTTAGAATAATAGTTTTCTCAAAGTTTATATCCTTTTACAGGATACAAAAAATATTTTAAAGCCGAGAAAAAAAATGAATGAGTGGAGGGAGAGTGGAGGCAATAAATTGAGAAGGCAATGAAGGCTTAGGCAGTTGCGAGTCTGATCACCCGTGCGTGGGTTTGATCTTTAAAAAGTCGATAAATTATTGGCTCGCATTAATGAGACATAAGAGGAGGATGGGGAGAGCTTTAATTACGGGAAGCTATTAATGTAGAATTGAATTCGATTTTTAATTTATTCCCTCCTTACATAGAGTTTAAAGCCAATCTTACTCTACGCTCTATGGCGGCACAATAAGTACTTGACGCTATTCATGCATTTCAAAAGAGGAGTGAATTGTTGAGTCAACAAGTGTTTTGAATCAGGGTGTTTTGGCTATATGTAAAGGGATTTGAGGGACTTGAATCTTATAAAATTTGAATATAGCTAGATAAATATTTTAGGTGAATTTCAGAAATTTATAAATAGAATATTTGTTACGAAGTGGAATTTTAGTACATATCACTCATGTTTGAATTTTTAACATTGAATTTCATTCTCCGTATCACTATAAAACTGAAAAAAATTGAATTGAATTTTAGAAAAAATTAATTTTAAAACATTTGTGGAGATATCCGCAACACGAAATAGAAAATTCTAAATCCTAGCATAATAGTCCAAGAAAAAGGCAATATATTCAAGTAAAAAATAGACGGAGCTCAACAACAGATTCCAAGGAAATAATCAGACAAACAAAAAGGGGAGCAGGCAAAAGTCCGCCGTCCAGAATTTTTTCTTTTGGCCAGCTTAAAATTTTAAAACAATTAAAAAAATCTTTTTTAAATTTAAAAATAAAAATTTTTTAAAGCTTAAAAATATTTTTTTAATTCAAAATATTCTTTAGAAATAAATACATACTTGGTAATTTAAAGAAATGTATCTAGTATACTTTTTAAAATTCCAATTATTCATTTTAAATTAGAGTTGGACAAGCCGAGACCGATACCGAGACCGATACCGAGATTCTCGGCTTTTTTCCAATATCGGTCTCGGTTTTTTCATTCTCGGTCTCGAAACCGATACCGATATTCTCGGTCCATTTCTCGGCGAGAAACGATACTGACTCAAAGACCCCAATTTTCTTGTATTTTTTAATAAAACTGAGAATTTTTGACCTTTGGCCTTCTGAATTTAAAAAAATTTCGCCTGCGGCGCTGAAAAGAGTGAATCCTTCTTTAGTTGCCTTACAAAATCCGAGCATTTCACTAAGCCCTCACGATTGAGTTGCACGACTGAGTTGCTCTTTTATCTAGCTCAACTGAGTCCCAGTAATTTAATAAAATTAAAAGGCTTAAATGCAATACTGGGTTATTTGGAGGGATTTGGGTGTTTAAGGAGATATCAATGGATTTGGAGGGATAACGAATGTTATATTTGGAAAGCTAATGGCGGATTAAGTGGACTATAATTGTATGAGTAGACTATAATCCTTTTACCTATAAATCCTACTATTGTATTTTTTATAAAAAAGGATGTTAACCATCAATCGAATCGGATCCAGATGATGAAGAGTATTTATCTGATGATTTGGATGATGAAAATAATGAATAAATTATTTTTACACGTATTTTTTGACATAAAAAAAAATTTTCTGTTAGTCTCGGTCAGTATCGTTTCTCGGTATCGGTCTCGGCTCAAAATGATGGTATCGGTCTCGGTATCGGGTTCTTGAGTATCGGTCAATCTCGGTCTCGGGTTGGCCGATACCAGTATCGTTTTGTCCAACTCTATTTTAAATTAATAATAAATCAAAGAATTATAAAATATTATATATTTATCTACTAATTTAGTTAAATTACTACCAAAATTAAAATTCGAATTAAAAAAATATATTTAGAAAGAATTGAAGATTATTAAAAAAATGTCATTTTTATTTTTTTTTTCTTTTAGCTATTTTTTTAAAGTCATTTTTTCATTTCACTACAAAGTTTAGTAAATTCTTCTTTTTCTTCCTCATTCAATCCTTCGTTAAATTCATTTTGATCATTGTCATCTTTTTCTTAAAAAATTTTTTTCATTAAATATAAATAATTATTTTTTAAATTAAAAAAAATTTTTTGTAATTTTTTACTTGTTCTACTATAACAAATTATCCCATCTTAAGGCTCAAAAATGGAAGAAATCTGGTTTCTCGGCTTCCAAAACTCTAAAACGAATACAAACATAGATAAAAGAATTTATGCATTTACGGACATAATTAAAATTTGTAACCGTTTTATGTATGAATAACGTTTAAATATAAATTTAATTAATTAATTATTATTCACAAACCTTCCATAAAACGTCCACATATTTCTTTCTTCTTCTCAGTTAATGTATTAGAAAGCTTCATTAAACATTCAGAATCCATATACTCCCCATTTTGATTCATTTCGTCAATCCCGCTTGCGACAAGAATTTTTTCAAAGAATTGCTCAACATGCTGTTCGGCTTTAATTTGGTAATCTTCTTCTTCTTTATCTTTTTTGCATTTATTATTATCCTCTACACAGTCAATATCTTCAATTAACAATTTAATATTCTTGACTATTTCCAAAGCATCATCCTTCTCTACATCTCTACACCACCACCATTTAATTGCACTCAAATCCAGAAACTTATAAATTTCACAGACATTGACATTCAAACATTTTGGCTGATTATTTTGTTTTTCCTTTCCATTATTATTAATTCCAAATTGTTCAACATCACGCTTCACTCGATTCAGTTTTACCCCAAATCGATGTTTAGTATTTCCTGTCGCAAATGGATTAGCTCCCAAAATTTTTGTGTGAATTCGAACTGATCCATCAGGGCGGAATTCATGTTTAATGCTGAAAATGGAAGGACCAGGATGAGAAATCCCTTTAAATTGTTTTTTTGGTTGTTTTAATCCTTGATGATTATTTGGATGATTTTTATTTCCAGATGGTTGTTGTGGGTGTGGTGGAAGACCATTCTTTCCTTTTCGACCTAGAGGTGATGGAGGATGACGATTATTTCTATTATGTAGAGGATTTGGAGGTGTTGCAGCTTTATTTGGTGCATTTGGAATATTATGAAGCTTTGGAATATTTTTTGCTACATGGGGAACAATTGCTTTTGATACTGGCTGTTCAGCTGGCTTTGGTTGATTCTAATTATAAAAGAAATAAAGTTTAATTTTATGTTAAATAAAAGTTATCCCCTCTTGTCCCAACAAGGTATCTCTTTTCTTACCTCAGCTTGTTTCTTTCCAGCACTTGGATTTTCCTGCCCTTTCTTTAAATCTTGAACCATTTCCATTTCATGCAAAGGAGTATTATTTATTTGATTTGGCTTATTCTTGTTTTTTCGCCTGTTTTTATTACGGCGTTTTCGACCAGGTTTATTACCGCCTTGTTTGCCATTATTATTTTTCTTATTTTTCTTATTTTTATTTTTTTTCTTTTTATTTCTTTTTTTACCTTTTCCCTTTCGAGCATTTTTACGTTTTTGTTTTTTACCTTTTGGCTTTTTACCTAATTTATTTTGTTGATTATTTCCATTTTCTTTTGGTGGCGGTAATATTGGGGTAATCTGTTTAATCTCTTGATTATTCTCAAGTTTATTTGGAATATTCTCTTTTACTTGTAATTTTTCAGAAATTTCTTTATTTTTATGATGATTTAGAGGATTTTTTATTTCATTTTGAGCATTATTTAGGGGAGATTGAACGATTTCTTTTTGTTTTTCGGAAATTTGTTTTGTCTCAGTCTGTGGAATTTCTTTATGATTAAGAGGTGCTTTTATTTCATCTTTTACTTCATTATTTGGATTATTTTCTTTAGGGGGTTCAATTATTTTTTTAGTTTCGACAGGGTATTTATTCCATTTCGTAATTAAATCTTTAAATGAAAATGGATTTCCTCCATTGGTTTTTGCAGTTATTTTACGAGGTGTTTCCGATTTTTTATTTTCTAAATCTTCAATGATTGATTCTTTTTTGTTTTGATTTTCTTCCGGTTTATTTCCAATAATTGGCTTTTCTTTTTCTATATTCTCATTTTTAATAGAATTTTCCTTTGACTGAACTTTTCCCTTTGATTTTATCATTTTTAGCATTTCCTCATTTAAAGGATTTGTGCGGGGCACTTCAATTTCCTCCGCAATTGGATTTTTCGATTCTTGACTAGGTTTCTCTGGGGTTTCTTCTTCCTTTTTTAAATTCAATTCTGGAACATTAATTGTTTCTTCCCTAATATTTTCACCTTTTAAATCTTTTGGAATTAAGTCTTTCTTCGCAATTTCTCCACTTTTAGTATCCATCTTTAAATTATTTTTAGTTTCTTCCTTCTCATTTTCCATTTTTATTTCCTTACTTTTTGATTCTTTCTCTTCTTCAGAAATTTCAGTTTCGAATTCATGAGAAAATTTTACAGTGACCTCTCTATTTTTATTTTTGATTGTAAATCTTGTACGAGTTCTATAACGTTTAGGAATTTCATTTTCCTCCTCCTTTTCTTTTTCCTCTTCCTTTTCTTCCTTTTCAACTTCCTCCACTTTTTTCACTTTTTCCTCCTCTTTAATTTCTTTATTCACATCTTCATTTTCTTTTTCATCCTCCTCCTCCTCTTTTTCCTCTTCCTCTTCAATTTTGGGTAAATTCATTGGTCCTCTATATGGAACAATAGCCCGAGAATAATCATAAAACTCTTCTTCAATTTCATTATCATTTTTTAATTCTTCATTTGTTTTATCTTTTGATGAATTCTCATTTTCTTTGTTTTCCCCAAAGTAAGCTTCTCTCTCTTCTAAATCCATTAATAAATCCTCTGGTATTTCAATATCCCATTCATCTGCCTAAATTGTTTAAAAAACTTATAGAAATGAGTTTTTGTTTAATCTTGGAAATATCCACTTTATTTTGTATTATCCCCTTTATTTAATAATTTCTTACCAATTTTTTAGCTCTTTTTCCCAAATCAATTGAATAATTCAAAATACATTGAGGTTCCATTTTTTTAAATAAATCTCTTTCAACTCCTTCCATTTCATTTCCATTAATAATTTCTCGTAATATTTCATCCCCAAAATGGTGGCAATGTATTGGCGGTTTAAATTCCATCCCTATTTGATTTATTGCTCTTTCCCAAATTATTCCAGAAAATTCCAAAATTCTCATTATTGCCTCTTGTTTATCCTCAGAATTTTCTGGCATTTCAAGTTCCGTTTTCTAAAATTATGAAAAGTAATTTATTAGTTTTTGTTAAGAACAATTTGGGTTCTCATTCTCGAGCGCTTTAGAGATAATTTATATACATATACCCTTCTCAATTTTTTTAGAAATATATTAAAAATTCATAGGTGAATACTCTTCATACTAAATTTAGTATACTAGGAAATTCTACTTCACCTAATAATTACCTTCTTTTCATCTTTCACTTCTTTTTCTTCAACAACTTGGCATTCTTCCAACATTTTCTCCATAATTTCTCTTCTTTTAGCAAATTGGGGTTCCTCAATGTGTTCAGAATCGAATACTTGTTTTTCAATATTTCCCAATATTTTTGCTGATTCACATATATTTTTAGCCTCATTTTCAAATTTATTTTTTATATGTTCAAGACAAGCAGTTATTTCCTTTTTCTTTTTTATTAATAGAGGAAGTTCATCTAAAAAGTTTCGAAAATTAATCCGCAAAAGAATTATTTTTATTTTTTTAACCAGCGTTCGGCGCGAATTGCTTAGTAGTTTTAATAGCTTATGGGTATAAAGGCTGACTCCAGCGTTATTACAATTTAAATAAAGCAATTTCCGTTAATTTCCCAGTATTTAAAAAATTCAGACTCAAATGTCCAACCTCAGACTCAAGTGGCACTTATAATAATATCTTCATTCAATTTCTTATTCAATTTTCAATCGAATGACACCTCAAGCATTTTTGTACGACTAATACTTCAAAAGTTATAAACTTTTGAATTTAAGTCATAAAAAACATGCGGGCCTTCGTCCCGCATGTTTTCTGTAATGCGTTCGAAATTAAAAAAAAATTTTAATTTCTGACGGTGCCTCCGGCAACGCGTTATCTGCAACGCGTTCCGAATTTTTAAAAAAATATTTTTATTTCCGGCGGTTGCCTCCGGCAACGCGTTATCTGCAACGCGTTCCGAATTTTTAAAAAATATTTTTAATTCTGGCGGTTGCCTCCGGCAACGCGTTATCTTCAACGCGTTCCGAATTTTTAAAAAAATATTTTTATTTCCGGCGGTTGCCTCCGGCAACGCGTTATCTGCAACGCGTTCCGAATTTTTAAAAAATATTTTTAATTCTGGCGGTTGCCTCCGGCAACGCGTTATCTGCAACGCGTTCCGAATTTTTAAAAAATATTTTTAATTCTGGCGGTTGCCTCCGGCAACGCGTTATCTGCAACGCGTTCCGAATTTTTAAAAAATATTTTTAATTCTGGCGGTTGCCTCCGGCAACGCGTTATCTGCAACGCGTTCCGAATTTTTAAAAAATATTTTTAATTCTGGCGGTTGCCTCCGGCAACGCGTTATCTGCAACGCGTTCCGAATTTTTAAAAAATATTTTTAATTCCGGCGGTTGCCTCCGGCAACGCGTTATCTTCAACGCATTCCGAATTTTTAAAAAATATTTTTAATTCTGGCGGTTGCCTCCGGCAACGCGTTATCTGCAACGCGTTCCGAATTTTTAAAAAATATTTTTAATTCTGGCGGTTGCCTCCGGCAACGCGTTCTCAGTAACGCGTTATAACATTTTAATTTTATTTCAAAAATTTGTAAAATTAATTAATTTTATTAAAATTTTCAGCCCAGACTGAAAGTTATAAATGAGACTCTAGTGTCCTTTATATTAAAAACTTATTTTCTAATATTCCCATTAATTTTTATAATTTTTAAAATTCATTTCCACTGATTTTAATCTTCAGACTCAAATATCCCAACCTCAGACTCAAATGACCCCTTCAAAAATATTTTTAAAAAATTCGTCTGATTTTTCCACGTCGAATGAGACCTTAATCATATTTTTCTGACAATTACTTCAAAAGTTACAAAATACGTCTCACCGTTGCTTAACTTTCCAGATCGGACGGTCTAGATCGTCAAATTTAAAAATTTTTTCCAAAAATTTTAATTTCTTAAAAAATTCATAACTCGGTCCAAAAAACTCATTTGAACATAAAACAAAGCTTATTCGATGCAGAATTTAATTCTCTATCTTTCATCTCCCGACACTTTTCTTCTAACTTCAAAACAAAATATAGTTAAGGTCACTTTTATGAAATATACTCAAAAATGCACTTTTTACTCCATATCTTTTTTCTGTTAATCCATTCAACTTGAAACCAACTTTTTTCTTAAGAAACCCACCATGCTCTACAACTTTTCTCCCAACCACTTTTTGCTCAGACCCTTCTAAACACCTTAAATCCAAAGTTACCACTTTGACAAAAAAGTTGTCAACAGGCACATCTACCCTCCCCGATGTCAGAACGACTTCAACTCTTTTTCTATCATATTCTCCATGTTGTGGTGCTTCAACCTTGTAACTGACCCAACTTTCCCCGACTTCATCTTCATATTCAAATTTCACTTCAAAGTTTCGAAAATTCATGTTTTTTCAAAATATCTAAAAAACTCGCCCCTTTCCCCCAACTTTTGGAGGTTTTCCTGAAAACTACATTAAATTTCCCATCTATAGCAAAAAACCCCACCCCTCTACGTTTTCTCAAACTTCCGGAGGACTTTTTTTTAACTGACTGCCTTTTTACTGTTATATATAGATAACCAGCGTTCGGCGCGAATTGCCGACATGTAAATAAGCTTTTTGGGTATAAAGGCTGACTCCAGCGTTATTACAACGCATTTAAATTAATTTGGATCAATTTCCCAGCATTTGAAATTTTCAGACTCAAATGTCCATTCTCAGACTCAAGTGATTCATTTGAAAAATTTTCATTCAAATCCTCATTCAATTCCCCATCGAATGACACCTCAACCATCTTTCTACGACTGATACTTCAAAAGTTATAAATTTTTACATTTAAGGCATAAAAAACATGCGGGCCTTCGGCCCGCATGTTTTCTGCAATGCGTTTCGAATTTTAAAATTTATTTTTATTTTCTGGCAGTTGCCTCCGGCAACGCGTTTTTTGCAACGCATTCCATTTTTTAAAAGATTTTTTAATTCTGGCGGTTGCCTCCGGCAACGCGTTATCTGCAACGCGTTCCGAATTTTTAAAATATAATTTTTAGTTCTGACGGTTGCCTCCGGCAACGCGTTTTCTGCAAACCGTTCCGAATTTTTAAAATATAATTTTTAGTTCTGACGGTTGCCTCCGGCAACGCGTTTTCTGCAACGCGTTCCGAATTATTAAAAAAATTATTTTAAATTCTGGCGGTTGCCTCCGGCACGCGTCTTCTACAGCGCGTTCCGAATTTTTAAAAATTAATTTTAAACTCTGACGGTTGCCTCCGGCAACGCGTTTTCTGCAACGCGTTCCGAATTTTTAAAAAATATAATTTTTAATTCTGGCGGTTGCCTCCGGCAACGCGTTTTCTGCAACGCGTTCCGAATTTTTAAAAAATATTTTTTAAATCTGGCGGTTGCCTCCGGCAACGCGTTTTCTGCAACGCGTTCCGAATATTTAAAAAATAATTTTAATTTCCGGCGGTTGCCTCCGGCAACGCGTTTTTTGCAATTTATAATTTAATTTCTCCACTTCATAAAATTTTTTAACAATTTTCAGTCCCAGACTTAAAATTATAAATGAGACTCAAGTGTCCTTTTTATTAAAAATTTGTTTTTTAATATTCCCTTTAATTTTTAGAATTTTTAAAATTAATTTCCACTGATTTTAACCTTCAGACTCAAATATCCCACCCTCAGACTCAAGTGATCCCTTCAAAATATTTTTAAAAAATTCGCCTGATTTTTCCACGTCGAATGACACCTCAATCATATTTTTCCGATAACTACTTCAAAAGTTACAAAAAACGCCTCACCGTTGCTTAACTTTCCAGATCGGACGGATTAGATCGTCAAATTTAAAAATTTTTTTCCTAAATTTTAATTTCTTAAAAAAATTCATAACTTTTTCAAAAAAAGTCGAAAAAGCATAAAACAAAGTTTATTCGATGCAGAATTTAATTCTCTATCTTTCATCTCCCAACACTTTTTTGCTATCTCCAAAACAAAATATAGTTAAGGTCACTTTTATGCAACATTCTCAAAATTTCAAGTTTTACTCCATATCTTTTTTTCTGTTAATCCAATCAACTTGAAACCAACTTTTTTCTTAAGAAACCCACCACGCTCTACAACTTTTCTCCCAACCACTTTTTGCTCCCATCTTTCTAAACACCTTAAATCCAAAGTTACCACTTTGACAAAAAGTTGTCAACAGGCACATCTACCCTCCCCGTTGTCCGAACGACTTCAACTCTTTTTCTTTCATATTCTCCATGTTGTGGTGCTTCAACCTTGTAACTGACTCAACTTCCCCCGACTTCATCTTCATACTCATTTCCGACCTCAAATTTTCGAAAAAACACGTTTTTTCAAAATATCTAAAAAACTCGCCACTTTCCCCCCACTTTTCGGATTTTTCCTGAAAACTACATTAAATTTCCCATCTATAGCAAAAAACCCCACCCCGATACACCCACTCAAAAGCTCTGGGGACTTTTTTTTAGCTGAGTGCCTTTTTACTATTATATATAGATAACCAGCGTTCTACGCGAATTGCTGAGTAGTTTTAATAGCTTTTGGGTATTAAAGCTGACTCCAGCGTTATTACAATCGAGATAATTCAATTTGGGTTAATTTCCCAGTATTTGAAAACTTCAGACTCAAATGTCCAGTCTTAGACTCAAGCGACACCTTTGAAAATATTCTCATTCAATTCCTCTTTCAATTCCCCATCGAATGACACCTCAAGCATCTTTCAATGACTAATACTTCAAAAGTTATAAACTTTTGAATTTAAGTCATAAAAACATGCGGGCCTTCGGCCCGCATGTAATTTTTGCTAGTGATTTTTGTAATTTTTTCATCTATTTTTGCTAGCTAAAAATTATTAAAATAATTATACGGGGCCTTCGGCCCCGTATATTTTTAACATTAAATAGAAGTTTATTGCAACGCGTTCCCAATTTTTATAAAATAATTTTTGAGCGGTTGCCTAAGGCAACGCGTTTTTTGCAACGCGTTCCGTATTAAAAAAATATTTTTTATTTCTTGCGGTTGCCTTTGGCAACGCGTTTTCTGCAACGCGTTCCGAATTTAAAAATAATATTTTAAATTCTCGCGGTTGCCTAAGGCAACGCGTTTTTTGCAACGCGTTCCGTATTAAAAAAAATATTTTTTATTTCTGGCGGTTGCCTCCGGCAACGAGTTTTTTGCAACGCGTTCCGTATTAAAAAAATATTTTTTATTTCTTGCGGTTGCCTTTGGCAACGCGTTTTTTGCAACGCGTTCCGAATTAAAAAAAAACTAATTTTAATTTCTTGCGGTTGCCTTTGGCAACGCGTTTTCTGCAACGCGTTCCGAATTTAAAAATAATATTTTAAATTCTCGCGGTTGCCTAAGGCAACGCGTTTTTTGCAACGCGTTCCGTATTAAAAAAAATATTTTTTATTTCTGGCGGTTGCCTCCGGCAACGCGTTTTCTGCAACGCGTTTCAATTTCCTTTAAAAATAATTTTTAATTCTGGCGGGTTCCTCAGGCAACGCGTTATATGCAACGCGTTCCGAATTTTTAAAAATATTTTTTAATTCTGCGGTTCCCTCCGGCAACGCGTTATCTGCAACGCGTTTCGATTTAAAAAAATAATTTTAAATTTCCGGCGGTTGCCTCCGGCAACGTGTTTATCGCACTGAGTTACGAATCTTAATATTACGTTTAAAAAGTTGTAAAAATTAGAATTTTATAAAAAATTTTCAGTCCCAGACTCAAATTAATAAATGAGACTCAAGTGTCCTTTTCATTAAAAATTTATTTTCTAATATTCCCATTAATTTTTATAATTTTTAAAATTACTTTCAACTGATTTTAACCTTCAGACTCAAATATTCTACCCTCAGACTCAAGTGACCCCTTCAAAAATATTTTCAAAAAATTCGCCTGATTTTTGCACGTCAAATGACACTTCAATCATATTTTTCCGATAACTACTTCAAAAGTTACAAAAAACGCCTCACCGTTGCTTAACTTTCCAGATCGGACGGTCTAGATCGTCAAATTTAAAAAATTTTTCCCAAAATTTTAATTTTTTAAAAAATTCATAACTCGTTGCAAAAAAGTCAAATTAACATAAAACAAAGCTTATTCGATGCAGAATTTAAAGATCTATCTTTCATCTCTTATCACTTTTTTTCTAACTTCAAAACTAAATATGGTTAAGGTCACTTTTATGCAACATTCTCAAAAATGCACTTTTTACTCCATATCTTTTTTTCCGTTAATCCAATCAACTTGAAACCAACTTTTTTCTTAAGAAACCCACAACGCTCTACAACTTTTCTCCCAACCACTTTTTGCTCAGACCCCTCTAAACACCTTAAATCCAAAGTTACCACTTTGACAAAAAAGTTGTCAACAGGCACATCTACCCTTCCCGATGTCAGAACGACTTCAACTCTTTTTCTATCATATTCTCCATGTTGTGGTGCTTCAACCTTGTAACTGACCCAACTTCCTCTGACTTCATCTTCATACTCATTTCCGACCTCAAAGTTTCGAAAAAACACGTTTTTTCGAAATATCTAATTTTTTCGCCCCTTTCCCCCCACTTTTCGGATTTTTCCTGAAAACTACATTAAATTTCCCATCTATAGCAAAAAACCCCACCCCGATACACCCACTCAAAAGCTCTGGGGACTTTTTTTTAGCTGAGTGCCTTTTTACTATTATATATAGATAACCAGCGTTCGGCGCGAATAGCTGAGTAGTTTTAATTGCTTTTGGGTATAAAGGCTGACTCCAGCGGTATTACAATTTAAAAAATTCAATTTGGCTTAATTTCCCAGTATTTGAAAACTTCAGACTCAAATGTCCAACCCTCAGACTCAAGTGACACTTTTAAATATATTTTCATTCAACTCCTCATTCAATTCCCCATCGAATGACACCTCAACCATCTTTCTACGACTAATACTTCAAAAGTTATAAAATTTTAAAATTAAGCATAAAATCGACATGCGGGCCTTCGGCCCGCATGTTTTCTGCAACGCGTTTCGAATTAAAAAAAATATTTCAATTCTGGCGGTTGCCTCCGGCAACGCGTTTTCTGCAACGCGTTCCGTATTTTAAAAAAAAATCATTTTTATTCCGGCGGTTGCCTCCGGCAACGCGTTTTCTGCAACGCGTTCCGTATTTTTTTAAAAAATAATTTTTATTTTTGGCGGTTGCCTCTGGCAACGCGTTATCTGCAACGCGTTCCGAATTTTTAGAAAAATATTTTTAAATTCTGACGGTTGCCTCCGGCAACGCGTTATCTGCAACGCGTTCCGAATTTTTAGAAAAATATATTTAAATTCTGGCGGTTGCCTCCGGCAACGCGTTTTCTGCAACGCGTTCCGATTTCTTTAAAAAATAATTTTTATTTCTGGCGGTTGCCTCCGGCAACGACTTCAAGGCATCGCGAATAACATTAAAATTATTTTTCAGAAAAGTATTAAAAATTAGAATTTTTACAAAATTTTCAGTCTCAGACTCAAATCTAAAAATGAGACTCAAGTGTCCTTTTTCTTAAAAATTTATTTTTTAATATTCCCATTAATTTTTAGAATTTTTAAAATTAATTTTCACTGATTTTTGCCTTCAAACTCAAATATCATATCCTCAGACTCAAGTGACCCCTTCGAAAATATTTTTAAAAAATTCGCCTGATTTTTCCGCGTCGAATGACACCTCATTCATATTTTTCCGATAACTACTTCAAAAGTTACAAAAAACAGCTCAGCGTTGCTTAACTTTCCAGATCGGACGGTCTAGATTGTCAAATTTAAAAAGTTTTTCCCAAAATTTTAATTTCTTAAAAAATTCATAACTCGGTCCAAAAAACTCATTTTAACATAAAACAAAGCTTATTCGATGCAGAATTTAATTCTCTATCTTTCAACTCCCAATACTTTTTTTCTAACTCCAAAACAAAATATAGATAAGGTCACTTATATGCATCATACTCAAAATTTCAATTTTTACTCCATATCTTTTTTTCTCTTCATCTGATCAAATTGAACCCAACTTTTTTCTTAAGAAATCCACCACGCTCTACAACTTTTCTCCCAACAACTTTTTGCTCAGACCCCTCTAAACACCTTAAATCGAAAGTTACCACTTTGAAAAAAAAGTTGTCAACAGGCACATCTACCCTTCCCGTTGTCCGAACGACTTCAACTTTTTTTCTATCATATTCTCCATGTTGTGTTGCTTCAACCTTGTAACTGACCCAACTTTCCCCGACTTCATCTTTATATTCAAATTTCACTTCAAAGATTCGAAAAAACACGTTTTTTCACAATATCTAAAAAACTCGCCCCTTTCCCCCACTTTTCGGATTTTTCCTGAAAACTACATTAAATTTCCCATCTATAGAAAAAAACCCCACCCCTCTACGACTTCTCAAACTTCCGGAGGACTTTTTTTTAGCTGAGTGCCTTTTTACTGTTATATATAGATAACCAGCGTTCGGCGCGAATGGCTGAGCCGGTTTGATTGCTTTTGGGTATAAAAGCTGACTCCAGCGTTATTACAACTAATTTAAATTAATTTGGATCAATTTCCCAATATTTGAAAACTTCACACTCAAATGTCCAACCCTCAGACTCAAGTGACACTCTTAAAAATATCTTCATTCAACTCCTCATTCAATTCCCCATCGAATGACACCTCAACCATTTAAGAAATAATTTTAAAGTCTGGCGGTTGCCTCCGGCAACGCGTTTTCTGCAACGCGTTCCGATTTCTTCAAAAAATAATTTTTAAGTCTGGCGGTTGCTTTCGGCAACGCGTTCAAGGCATAGCGATACAACATTAAAATTATTTTTCAGAAAAGTATTAAAAATTAGCATTTTTACAAAATTTTCATTCTCAGACTCAAATTTAAAAATGAGACTCAAGTGTCCTTTTTCTTAAAAAGTTATTTTTTAATATTCCCATTAATTTTTAAAATTTTTTAAATTAATTTCAACTGATTTTAGCCTTCAGACTCAAATATACCACACTCAGACTCAAGTGACCCTTTCAAAAATATTTTTAAAAAATTCGCCTGATTTTTCCGCGTCGAATGACACCTCAATCATATTTTTTCGATAACTACTTCAAAAGTTACAAAAAACAGCTCAGCGTTGCTTAACTTTCCAGATCGGACGGTCTAGATCGTCAAATTTAAAAATTTTTTCCCAAAATTTTAATTTCTTAAAAAAATTATAACTTGGGCCAAAAAAGCCCAAAAATTATAAAACAAAGCTTATTCGATGCAGAAATAAATTCTCTATCTTTCATCTCCCAACACTTTTCTTCTAACTCCAAAACAAAATAAAGTTAATGTCACTTTTATGCAACCTCCTTAAAATTTAAATTTTTACTCCATATCTTTTTTTAAGTTATTCCAATCAACTTGAAACCAACTTTTTTCTTAAGAACTCCACTACGCTCTACAACTTTTCTCCCAACCACTTTTTGCTCCCACCCCTCTAAACACCTTAAATCCAAAGTTACCACTATGACAAAAAAGTTGTCAACAGGCACATCTACCCTTCCCGATGTCAGAACGACTTCAACTCTTTTTCTATCATATTCTCCATGTTGTGGTGCTTCAACCTTGTAACTGACCCAACTTCCCCCGACTTCATCTTTCATCTCAAATTTCACTTCAAAGATACGAAAAAACACGTTTTTTCAAAATATCTAAAAAACTCGCCCCTTTCCCCCAACTTTTGGAGGTTTTCCTGAAAACTACATAGTATTGCGCATCTATAGCAAAAAACCCCACCCCGATACGCCCACTCAAAAGCTCTGGGGACTTTTTTTTAGCTGACTGCCTTTTTACTATTATATATAGATAATCAACTGGGAATATTAAAAACTTTGCCGTCCCTACAATTTCTTTCAGTAAAATCTTTAGTTTTCTTTTACAGAAAAATTAATTTACCATTAATTTTTTCAGTTTCTATTTTCTTTGCTTCAATCAAAATTTCATCACATTTTTGGCCATTTTTCACCTCGTTACTTACAACTGTTAACATGTTTATCTTTTTAAGTGCTTTCAATAGCCATTCTAATTGTTTATCAGCAATAGATCCATTGTCCATTTCGTAATAGTCTTTTTCTTCATTCCAATGCATATTGTGTGTATACTAATTAATTATAAAAAATATATAGAGAATATTTTGACTATTTTATTTAATTAAAAATCAGAAAAAAAACCTCCAAATATCTTTTAATAAATTATAATTACCAATTTTAATGCAGAACATTTTCTCTCCAAATTTCCTATATATTCTTCACCCTTTTCAAATTCATTATTTTTCAACCAAATACTTGTTTGATCACAAACTTCATTTCCTTCATTTAAAAACATTTCTCTGGCTACAGAATCACACGATCCATTTTTATCAAAAGTTTTTCTCCAATTTTTTATTGGTTGTTGTATATCACTTTTCCAGTCATATTTTTCTCGGGAACGGATTGACTCGATAAATTTTTGGCATTTTTCTAAATCTTCGAGTTTTCGATTTTCTTCTTTTTTATCTTCAATTTTGTTGTTATTTAAGCTTTTTTGTTGTGTAGAAAGTATTTGATATTCACGTAAAATTATTGCATTCCATTCTAGCCATTTACCAACTTTCTTCATTCTTTTCTCCTAAATTATTTTTTTTAAATTAAAAAAAAATTAATAATTTACCACAACAATTGAACACATAAAATCCAATCTTTTTAAGTTTACTCTCTTTTTCTGAATCATTTCTCTCCTTTTTTCCTTTGTACTTTCTTCAATTCCATTACCCAAATTTTCTAATTCTTCAAGAGAAATCTCTTTTACTTCTTGGCAAATTTCCCAACTTTTATCTGCTGAAATTGGGTCATAATTATCATTTTCTAAAAAGTCTTCAATTGCAAGTTTGGCTGGAATTGGCTTTTTCTTTTCCCCTCCTTCCACAAACAAATAACATTTACATTCATGTTTTGGGTCAAAATAGAGCTTTAAAGATTAAAAATTTAGTTTGAAATTTTTTATAAAACTATTTTCAACCTAAAAGGGCTTAGCTAGATACTATAAGGAAAAGATACTAGGTACGTACTAACCTTCCCATTTATTAATATCACCCTTCTCAACAGCTTAATATGCTTTATTTTAATACCAGATATTCCTATTAGGATAATTTATAAAAATTTACTTTTGGAAGATTAATAGCAACTTCATTCTTTTGCTGTTTTTCATTATCCTTCTTTTCATTACTTTTACCAAAAGAAAATAACCGTCCAACTTTTGATATAAATCCTTCCTTTTTAATTTCTTTTTCCTTTTTTGGCACTTCTTTTTCAATTACTTTTTCTTCATTTATTTCTTCCTTTTGTTCTTCTACTTTATCTAAAAATATAACAATTATTTGTTAATAAATTAAAAAAACCTTTCCCATTTTCATCTAATTTCCATGTAACCTAAAAAATTTATATTTGTTTATTTAAACAAAACTTACCGAACGTTTCCTCGCCTCTGATTTGTTCAAATCTTCCTCAGCAGTTTTCATTAAATCTTCCTAAAATTAAACAAAATTTATTTTATTTATTATTAAAGAACCTCTTTAGTTTTGTTTTCTGGGGAATTTGTTTTTTCTTCTTCTAGTGATTCGTCTGAATCTTCTTGTATCTAAATATTTCGATAAGTAAAAGGAAACTTTTCTTTTTATTAAATAACTAAAAACCCCTTTCTCGAATTTTTGATTTTGAATAGTTTTTTGCTTTACTTTAAAACATACTAGCTAAACCTAACAATTTATAATCTCCAATATAATTTAAGTTTTTCTCTCAAAATTTATTTTTACTTAACTTTTCTTTTAATAATAATTTATTAAACAATTACTATTAACCTCTTTTCCATTTTGTAAATTTATATTTTCCTCATTTTCATCATCATCTTCATCATTACTTTCATTTACTTTCTCCAAATTCCCATTTTCTTTTGATTTCATATTATCAGTTTTCTAAATAGAAATAATTATTTATTTAATTATCTAATTAAATCCCTCTTCAAACACCACGATCCTTTTGGAGAATTCCCAAAAATTATGTTAGATAAAAATAAAAATTTTTTATATTTTCCTTAATCTTTCTCCTTACTCTTAATTAATTAATTATTTAATTTACTTCTAATTTCTCAATTTTCTCACAAATTTTTTCAAATTTATTTATTCTTTCCTCAATCCTTCCAACCCATTTTTCAACTAAATCTTTATCTTTTCTTTCACTATAATTTTTATATTCCTTCAAAAATTTCTTTTTATATTCTCTACTTTCTTTACAATATTTTTCTGTTTCATTCCCAATTATTAACATTAAACAAATTAAATCTTCTGTTAATTCTGAGGGCTTTGTTGTGTCATTATTTTCTTTTATATACTCAGAAATCTTTTCTGAATAATAATTTTTGGGGTTTAAAGGCGTTCCGTAAAAATTTTCTTGAATATATTCTATCCAATATGTTTTGCTATCATCACATGAATTTGGGGTTTTCTCTAGCGATTTTCTGCCAAACTTTAAATATTTGACTATATCTTCCAATACATGAGTTAATTTTTGGATTTTTTCTAAAAATTATTTTTTAAATTAAAAAATTATTTTCTTACGTTCATTTCCTTCAATTTTAATTAATTCAAAATCCCATTTATTCTCCTTTTCAGTATCTAAATAACACATTCCATTTAATTCTTTATTTTCTCCTTCATTTTCAAAAATTTGTGAAAGGATGGAGGTATAGGCAAAATTAAAAAGTTTAATCTCTGAACTCAATCCTCCCAACATTTTCATTCCAAACCCAATATTTAAATCATTATTTATTTTTTCAAAAGGTGTTTCCTTCTTTTTCTTTTGATTTTCTTTACCATATTCAGAAAGGATTTCATTGCAATCACGATCAAGATGGATAGCCATGAAATTTATTATACCTTAAATATATAAATAAATATATTTGAAATAAATATATTTTTGCTGTGAAAATGATAATATATTTTTATTCCTAGAAGATAAGATTTAAAACCGTCTTCAAAATTCTTAAACTTGGGACTGGTTTAATTAAGACAAGACCGAAAAATGGGTAAGGGACCATTATTTAAAATAGGCGAGCTTTGTCCTACTCTAATAGAAACGGATGAAATTCTATTTTAACTAATTTTTTCAATCTCTTAATTATCTAGCTTTTTATGTTTACTCATATTTTTACCTTCATAATTTCGATTATCATGATTTTTCTTTAAAGATTGACGCATCTCTCTATTGTAATGTATTTTTCCGGCCAATCCAGAAACTTTCAACATTTTTGCCAATTCCCCCAAATACGATTGTCTAAAAAATTTTTAAATTAATTTCATTAAAATATATTGAATTTTCTTACTTTTCAATTAATTTTTTAGTTAATTTATTTTTTTCTTGAAAAATCTCTTCTTGTGTCTTTGATTTTCCATCTTCACTAGTTTTAAATTTGGCAAGTCTAGTTTCAAGTAAATTCTTTTGTGGAACCGTGTAATTTAAAAACGCTGGACAATATTTATTTATTTCTTCTGAAAATCTTTTTGCAAGGTCTGAATCAACTTCGAAGCTAATTAATAATTTATTTAAAACTCTTTTTGCAAAATTCTCAAATTGAAGGAGAATTCTTTCATTTACATTTAGCTGAGTTCCAATTTCGTCGTCACTTTGTTGTGTTGGACACATATCAACTACTCGATCAATCATCTTTAAAAATATATATTTTAAGATTGATAGAGAAAAGAATAGGATTAACTCCAATCTCTTATCGAAACTCTCTTATAATTTAAAGGTCAAAATAATTTTTTATATACCTTTTCAAGATCAAAGTCGTTAAAGTCTACTTCATTGTCAATTACATAAACTCTTTTCGCAAGAATTTCGTAGATTTTTTTGATACCTAAATCTTTCTCTTTCTTTCCTTTCAATAATATATGTAAAATAAGCGTTGAATATGATTTTGGATTAATTTTATAATCATCACTCATTTTAGATATATCTGATTTATTTTCAGAAGCAGCTGAAGCTGAATTTTCTATTTTGCTCGATTTTGTTTCAAGTATCTCTTCCACATCCCTTTTCCCGTAATTCTTTTGAAGATTTTCATTAAATTTTTCGTAGTATTCGATTATTTTTTGAATGACAATTTTTGGTTGAGACAAGAGAATTTCATAGACGGTTCCGAATTCAGGTTGAGGATCTGAGAAAATCTTCATTTAAAAAAGCGAGGGTTTTATTAATCCTGAGAGGTAAAGATCACCTTCCCTTTATACAAATTTTCCGGGCCTCCCCATGTTTTATAGGTCCACTGGCAGGTAAGGTCTTTTAATTACTAAATAATTTACTTTCCAAAATTCCAAAAAGCCTTTCACCCAAAGCCTGTTCTCTCGGGACAATCATCATTTCAAACATTTTTGCAATATTGTCATATGATTTGTGCACAAGTCCAGATAATAAGCCTGTGTTTCGAAGTGATTTGACAGAAGCATTTTCATGCCAAAATATTTTGTGGATGCATTCCTAATAAAATGGTATAAAGATGTATCCCTACTGTTATCTTATTAGGAAGTGTAACTTAAATAGTGAGCAGCTTTTTTCACGTCGTGGCCAACCAAAAGTGTTTACAAAGGAAATCCGATTCTGTTTTTATTTTTAATACATATACATGAGACCATAACGATTTAGAATAATATTTTTAAGTAAATTCCTTAAAAATCCTTTTCAAAAATTAATTTATTTTACTTCCTCTGAATAGCCAACACGTTTGCAATAATCCCTTGTGATTTCTTCACGGCGCCATTGAGGCATTGGCACGTAGAATGCTGCCAATTGTTTCCAAGCCATTTGACGACTATCCAATTGATCCGTTTTTAGCAGATCGGAATTTAGGTGATTGACTATATGATTGAGCTTTTCCCAGGCATTTGAACCAACGTAGTTTCGCGAACATTTATCGACAATTTCTTTCGATAGTCCGTTTACTGTTTAAAAAATATTTGAAATTAAATAGAAAATTTTTAGGATTACCCCCAAAATTGCAGAAAATCAAAAGGACCACGACTAAAAAAAGCCGTTGAATTATCATTATTTAATTTATTTATTAATAATTTTATTCATTAAATTTCAACCAATTGATTCTTAAATTAATTTTTATAAAATTTAATAATTATTTAAAAATTATTTGAAATTAAATGGAACAATTAAGTATCCGAAAATTTCGCTATTATTCTATGAGAGGAGAGAAAGGGCAGTCTTCGATATTTTTTTAATCTGGGACAATTCAATCAAATTATAAGAGTGCATATCCCTTTAATAATTTGTAACATATAAATAAATAAAAGTTAAAATATAATTTAAAAATATTTAATAATGAATGGCTACTGTTTAATTCCTAAGGGATTTTATAATAAGAGAAATGTCTAAAAAATGATAAAATTAATTTCGTAAACAATTTTTTATAAATAAATTAAAAATTATACATAATATGATGTAATTTAAATTTTAGAGGCAAAATTTCAAAATATAAATTTCTCAAATTTCCTTTATTTTCTCCATTTTCTCCTGTATAGTGCAATTAAATAAAAAATATAGTTTATAATTTATGTATAATTCACTATAAAAAATATACTTTTAAAAAAATCAAAGCAAAAAATCATTTCCATGTGTTGCCCTTTTACATATGTGAACAGACTAGAATCATCGGATGATATCACCTTGGTGATGAAAACACATTTAATCGGATGATGTCATATGAGCTTTTCCCTAACTTCAAAGGAAATTAATTAAGAAATATTAAATTAAAAAATTTTTTATAAAGTCTAAATGCACTTTTAATTTTCTTCTTAAATATTATTTAATTTTAATTTAATTTGAAAATCGTTTTAATTTAATTCTAGAATTTCTTGTTCGTTATATACTATATCTTTACTTTATGTAAGTATTCAAATCTAAAGGTTTTAATAATATTGTTTAGTGAATATTCATTTTCTATTTCTTATCTTTCTCTCATATAAAATTCAATTCAAACTTTAATTTTTTTCAATATCAGAACCAAAAAAATTGGTTATAAGAATCGACACTGCCCTACATAAGTGTATAAAATTTAAAATTTGAATACTTACAGAAGACATGTTTTTAATTGTAAAGCATATAGTCATCTCCAAAGGCTATGAGAGGGCAAACTGGAATAATGTATAACACTTCTTCAGATGCTGGTTCGTTCCCAGCCTTTTGCATTAGCTGAAGAAGGAATATCTATAGCCCAGCTCAGTTAATCTTTTTTGAATTTTATTAAAAAATATTTTTATCTTGGCCAGAGAGTAGTCTGAATTGTGTTTGGAAAGGATCATCGCACTTAACAAAAGCTAGCACCAACACTGTTTCCCAATGTTAACTAAATGCGGGATCAATTCTTTAAAAGAACTTCTTTTCCCTTTGCACAAAATTAACAGCGGCTGACCGATAGCCTTTCCAGTACAGCGCCAGCCTCAACTCGAGACTACCCCTTCTCGGAGATAACACCCGAGAGTGTGGGCCATTTCTCAGACCTTCCCAGGAACATTTAAAAGCAATTATCTGCTTTAATGTGGCTCCTATGATCCTCATCCAGCCAAGAACTTGTCTCTAGATTTTAATTTCTCCTTTATATTTCTACCACACGTTTTTCTCTTTTATATTTGATGGGGTGTAAACAACAGAAAGAGAAAAAAAACAAAAGTGAACTTCAACAAAGTAAAAAATCTTATAATTATTTGAATACCCCAAAATCTTTGTAAATTTTAAAAAATTTTAAGAAGAAGATTGTTCTGTAAATCTCTTATTTTTCAATTTTACAAAAATATTTAATATATAAATTTTTATTAAAATTCAAAAATATTTAAAATATAATAACAGAATAATTTTTAAATAAATAATTTTAATTAATTCGTTTGTAACATTTTCACATTTGTAGCAGATATGTTTATATAAATTAATTAATTATTAAATGTTGTATTGTGAATCAAAACTAAAAGATTTTCCATACTTTCATCCTTCTCTAGCATCTTTAAAAATAAAAATTTTAAAAATTTTTAAGGTGTGATTGGTTATTCTTCTCAAATAAACGTTTGTTGCGAAAGACAAAAATAGGGAAATTTTGGAGAGAAAGAACAACAACATTTTTAAATTATTATTTACCTTATTTAAATTAAAAGAATTTTGAGAATCTGTTGATTCAAATGGATTTCTGGAAAACAAAAATTAAAAATAAATATTTTAAATTAAAATATATAACAATTTAGTATCAACAGGAAATGTTGTTGCCGCATTTTTTCTTTGAAGAGAAAATTGTTTAACAAAACTTTCATTTAAATGGCAACTATAAAATGGAGGAGGTTTTTGTTGTAAACGTAATTGTGGTGATTGTTTATTTTCTGTTTGACTAATTTAAATTTTAAAATTAATAATTCAAATAAAAATTACTTTTTCTTTCCTTTTAATGCTCTTCTGTCTAAACTTGATGATGAATAATATGAAGGTATTAAAAGTGATTGTTGTGGACTTATTTTGTTGAATCTGGGTAATGCTGAAGAGGAAATACTAGATGAATTAATTAAAGTATTTAAATGTTGTTTTGATGATGGAAATTCTTTCTGGAAAAATTTAAAGAAAAATTTTTGCCAAAAAACAATTGCTTTGAAGAACAACCTTAAGCCGATCCTTTTTTTTGTATATATACAAGTACATAATTATTTTTAGGGGTGGACATACTTTAGGAGTATATAGTAATAATAAATTGATAATATCCCTAAAATATTTTTGAATATAAGATGGCACAGAGTAACAATTATTATACATATCAACAATTATCACTCTTACATCGGGATACAAGTTTTTTCGCGAACTCTATCAGCACTTGAATAACATTTTTTACAAAAAATTTCATTCTCTCCCAAAAAGAAACAAAAAAAAGTTTTTATTTCCCTTTTTCCTTACATTATTTAAAATGCTTGTAGATGGCACAGAGTAACAATTATTATAACAATAATTATTAGTAGGCGACAAACTTTTTTGAGTATTTTGTAATGTCGGGAAATTAGATTGTCTATAGGCACTTTTGTATGGAGCAGAAGATGTATAGCCAATATTTGCATATCTTAATAAAAATTAATTTTTTGAAAAACAATATTTTTAACAAACAAATGTGTTGAATTATTTGTTGTTATTTCTTCTTTTAGTTCTGTTTTGATATAAAAATTGGATGTTTCTTTTAGAGTAGAAGGAGAACTTTTATTATTTTTATTGTTACTTCCAGCTGATGATCGACGACATGGAACTTTAAAAATAAAAAATAAATTCTTTAATAATTAAAAAAATACAAACTAGGTGGGGGAGTTATTAAATTAGTAGAAGAAGTTGATGCTAAAGAGGCGCTCATACTTGCAGAAATCCCGCTACTTGAACTAATTGTCGCGGAAACAGTTCCTCCATTAATCTTTTGACCTTTAATTGAAGGGGTTGGTCCATTTAATGAAAGGGAGGAAGAATATGAAGAAGTTGAGGATGAAGAAGCGGAAGTGGAAAATGAGAGAGGCAATTTAGTAGTTGGGGGAGAACAGCAATTTTTAATGTTTTGATTTTGTTGTTTAGGGATTTGTTGGGAATTTAATAATTTTTGTTGTTCTTCTTTTCTAAAAAAATATTTTTTAAAGAATAAAAAGTTTAAGAATTTTAAAATAAAACTAATTAACGGAGGGGGGGGGGGGGTATTGTGTTACATTTTTTAACTAATTGCTAAAGTAATATCTAATATTTTAAATTTTTTAAAATTACTTTATTAAATTATGCAAATTTTTCGCGTTTGTTGGAGTTTTTCTAGATTTTTTCGAATCTTTTCTATTTTTTTTTTGTGGAGAAATATTCGGAGTAGTTTCTGCCAAATCAAGTACAGAGCCATGTGGAGTAGAAGGACAAGATTTAGTTGAATGATTACCCCATTTAATTGTATTATAAAAATTAGGCCAATTCTCTAAATAAAAAAAACATTTTTTTAATAAAATATCCAAAAAATGTAGTAAAACTTACTTAAACTATTTAAAGAAAATCCACTTCCCGCATTTTTACTTTGTCGGCGCATTCCTTGAATTTCTTCCTGAGGGGGAGTAGACACATCTGGTTTTGAATTTGAAAGGCAAATTCTTCTATTTAAATCTGAAAGTTTAAACATAATAATTATTTGATTTTTTATAATTTTTATATTTTTAAAAATATATTCAAAAAATTAAAATAACAAGGGGAAACATTTTTAAAGTATTTGAGAAAAAATTAAAAATTCTAATATAAGTGGACAATCATTTAATTTTGTTTATCTCATTAGATTTATGATAAAAAATAATATACAGATTCGGCTGTAACACTTAATAAAATTAAATTTATATTAACTACACCATTCTAGAAGTATTTAATAGAAAAAATATTTTAAAAGTTAAAATAATCGAATCAATTAAATATTAATTAAATATATTTTACCCTTTTCCAGTGTCCGAAGTTTTATTGTTGCCATTTGAAGGTCACGACGGCGTTTTTTTCTTAAACCCTTATTTGCACTCCAATCGGTTGCCAATCTTTCTGCTGCAGCAACAATACGTTTATTTAAAACTATTTCTGTTTCCAACCTTCCCAATTCATCTATCTATTAAATTACAAAAAAATATTTTATTTTTTAAAAAATTATAGGTACTTGATTATTATCATTTAAAAGTTTTTGTGGAAATTTAAATGTCGTTCCAACTCTTCTTTTAATAATTGGTTCAGGCTCTCCAGGTAAAAGAGTTTTGTAAATTTCTTTTGGCAATTGACCTGTTAATTCCTAAAATAAGAAAATAATTTTTAATAATTTAATATAAAAATATTATTTTAAATTAAATAATTTCTAATAAAATTTAAAGAATTTTAACAAATTTTATTAAACATACAGCTTCTTCAATGCATATTCTTTTTAATTCTTCCAGTCTTTTAATTAAATTTTCTTCTAGTAATTCAGCTTGAATCCTTAAAGCATTACTAATTTCCAACTTTCTTTTCATTTCCTCTTTTATTTCTATAATTATTTTTAAATTAAAAGTAAATTGTTA